CGCGGTAATCGCTCAATCGACGAACACGAGCGAGCCAGGTGGGGCTATCATCTTTCCCTTTGAATCGTCGCTACCTGCACGCGTTCTCTCTGTTCCACGGACACGCTCGCGTGTCCCTTCGCTCGTCGAATCAATTTTCGTCGCCGATCGAAAGTCAATCTTCGAAATGAACGTCGAAAGGTCAAATATTGAAACGTCGCGAGTCGCTTGGAAATTCATTGAGACGGCGAGACGTCTCGTCGTTGCGAGCGCAATATTTTGAAAAAAAAAAAAAAAGAAAAAAAGAAAAATAAGAGAAGAGAGAAGAAGAAAGGGAAGAAGCGTAGCTCGCGAGGATGTTCCTTTGTCGGGAACAGGAGTGTTCGACGGGCAAAATGCTCCGTCGTTGGATTTTCATTTTTCGCAAAGGTGAATGGATAACGGGTGGCTTTCGGGTAGGAAGCGCCGGTTGAAAGCTCGATCCATTGTTGGGAACGCGATTTTCATTTGTCGTGTAAATTTGAGAGATGGAGTTCACAAATTTATATCACCCCTGCCGGAGGTGACGTAAGAATCTGAACATTTGCTGTTGGTCACAGCTTTGTTTAATAAGATCGTATTATTTTTTTGTATTGTATTGTATAAATTTTGCTTTGTATTGTATAAATTGTATTACATCTATATGATTATACGACTGTATCATACGATTATGTGGATCACATTATATTTGTATTACGTTTGCAATTAATTGATTCACATCTATAATTAATTCTTTCAATAGCAAGCGGTGTATGCGATGAATATTTTATTAGAGGTCCTTCGATTCCAAGGATTATTATTCGAATTGAAGAGGAATTATATGTTCATCGCTAAATTGATGAAATGTTAATAATTACAAATATCGATATCGTGGAGAATTTACCCTTTCTAGTTGTGCCTCTCTTCTAGCTACCCGTTGTGCAACAAATTTATCGATAGATTAATAAAATTAAGCCCTAACGTATTACGAAAAACAGACAATAAAAAGTCAGAGGCCTTAACGGGGAATTATAGATTATAACGATTCGTCGGGAGTGTAATATTCCAAGACGAAGAGAAGCCGCGATCGATCCATGCCGTTACGATTAGATATCCAACCGGTTCGTTCGTGACGTTGATCGCCATGCTCGATAAATACGACAATAATGAATCCCTCGAAGGTAGAGTTTTATCTATAGAGGTGAATCACGACTGAATCGACGACGTGAATCAATCACTTTGAACGTGTGGTACGATGTCGAAATTGAATAAAAAAAGAAAGAGAGAGAGAGAGAGAGAGAGAGAGAGAGAGAGAGAGAAAGAGAGAGAAGGTGAATGTTGTACGTTAGAAACACAAGTCACAGTCTGTGATGCGATGATCGATTTAAAAAAAAATAAAACATAGAAAATGCAAAGTATTTCAGTTTGAGGAATAGTGAGAAAGAAAAGAATATATTAAGCTGATCTTTGAAATCTCCTTTTTGTAATCATAGTATTAAAAGACACAGAATACAATAGTTATAAATTCTCGGTCGAAGAAAGTTGGAAATAAATAAAATGAGATAACAATCTATTCGTTGGTGCCTTTTATGCCTTTTATTGTCTCGTTAAACTTTGTAAGGAAGTTGATGACAATGCCGTGATCAAATTTGATAAAAATAAATTCTAACGTGGAAAACAAAAGATACCTTCGAATTAATATCTCGCGCACAAACAGAGAAATCACTCCACTGATAATGCCCTCGTGCGCAAAAGAACAACGCTGGTTACTCCTCGATGGAACAAAAATCATCGATGCGCTTTGTTAGTTCCATTAACCCCTTGCGCTGGCAACTGGTTTTGCGGACCATAACGAGTGACCGAACCATATACAATAATTCGTCGTTTTCTTTTTCTTTTGAACTCGTCGGTATGATATCACTTGGTTAGAGGGCGTGTCTGGTAAAGAGTGCTGTATGAGAGATGCGAAAAAATAGAGGTAAATAAAAGAGAATAAATTCCAAAAACGAAGCCAAAAGAGAGATAAATAGAGTAGTGGAGAGATAAATAGATAAATAGAGTTGGAAGTAGAAGGTAAGCGAATAACAGAGGAAATAGAAAAAGGGCGGCTAGTTTAGAAAGCGTGGAATACCCAATCTTATTAAAAGCGAAAATAGAAAAAGACAGTACAATAAAGAAACAGAAATAGTCACTAAATTTAAGGTAATTAATATAAATAAGTAAGAAATTAAGAAAATTAGGTGAGAAAGGGTAGCTTGAAAGTAGAAGCATATCACATGAGAAAAGAAATGATTGACTTAGAAAACAAGGAAACAAAAGACAGTGAAGAGGAGGAGGTTCCAGGCACTCCAAACACCGAGAAGAAAAAGAGAAAAAGAGAATATCACTGGATAGAAATTATTAAAAACTAATAAACTTATCATTTGTTTTGCCTGGGTTACATTCAAATATACTTAAAACCGAGAAAATGTTGCAAAATTCTCGACGTGCGTGTCAATCCAGCGCAAGAGGTTAAAAAACTCGCATCGATCGGGAGTTCGGAAAATGCCTAATTGTCGGAACGCATGTGGTCTGGTATCGGATCGCGAGGAAGCCCGTGGAAACCCGTTTCGAATTTGTCACGGCCGTTGGAAGAGTGTCGGAGGAGTGTTTGGCCGGAGGTGGCGGCCGTACGGGGAAAAGAATCGGCGGTGCGATGCGTTCTACGACGGATGGGATAGCTGGAGGATGGGACAAAACGAGGCAAATCGCGGAGCACGAAGGTCGAGGGGAAACTGGGTTTGCTCGACGAAAGAATGGCGCGACAGGATTGTATTGGATCGCGTAGGCGAGGGATGAACGGGAGCAGCGGCGGCGTCGACGACTGGTGCCTCCAACGGTACAACGAAATACAAGAGGATAGGAAAAGCGAACGATATCCATTCTCATTCCTCCCGTGGGGAGTGCGATGTTGCGCGAACGAACCGCAGAGAAGACGCGAATACCAATGGTACGCCTGCAGCCTGCTACACCACCAGCTTACATTTCGCGCCTGTGTACGCCTGTTTCGCGCCGCGGCGTTACCACGCTACGTGGCCATGTAGATTTATACCCGTTTTATTATCGTACCTGCTTTTACGAATACGGGGCGAACTCCCGTTGCCGTCACGGATTTTTCGCCGCGCGATGGAATCTCGTTATTTCCAGCCAGAAGCAAACCACCGAACGTCGTTGCAGCCAACGCGACGCGACGCGTCACGCGTGTCCGTCCGCGTGTTCAAAGGCACGCGCGTGCGCTTAGTGCGCCTGTATCGGGTTTCATGGCTGATCGGCTGATGAAATTGCGTTGCCGAGGATACGTGACTTAAAGGCAAGAGCAAGGATGTAGCTGGGGATCGTGAGGGGGGAGGGGAGGCTTGGAGCGTAGGAGAGCTTTTTTTTATGAAGAACTGAAAATATAAAATTGTTGGAGAAAGGAAATCGCGTGGAAATCAGTGTGGAGTAATGGTACCGGAGAGTGGAGGATTTATCGCTTGAGATATACTACTTCTCGGGCGCCTAACCTAGGCGACCTTATTCCACTGCGACGCGAGGGAACGAGAAATATAGTAAGTTTCGTCTGGGCTTTGATTTTTCTTTTCTTTATTTTTTTTTTTATTTTTACGACAAATCGATATGTACAATCATTATGTACAACAGCTAGACGTGTTACAGATTTTTATGTTTATAGTACGCTATAAATAAATAAATATTTACGGTGGCAACTTTATGGCACGATGTTTTATAAAGTAAATTTCGATATAATGTACAAACGTTTCCTGGAAAGATGCGAGCAAACATTGCGCAAACATTTTAATATATATAACGTTGCAACGTTATATATTCAACGTTGCAAAGTCTCATTGGAAGAATGAACAAACAGCAACGATACGCGTGTATCAAAAAGAACATTAAACATTCAAATATATAAAATTTCCCAATAAAAAGAACTTATCACGGATCGATGAATATCGAGCTTTAATAAAAGTGTAATTTAATTAATTAATATATACAGTCCCCAGAATTTCCTGAATCTAAGATTGAACGAATGGACCTGATACTCGCTTTAAAATCTAAAACATTTAACGAGCAATGAAAGCGCAATTTGAAACGCAAATTATAGAACCGAACATTACAACGTAACCAATGTCCTCGATATACAATCGTTCGATCAGACAACGATAGACGTATCAAGTTTAAATTGAATAATGCCTGTTCTGCAAAATGAGCCTCCATTGTGCGATAACGCCTGCAACGATAATATGTAATTTAATTAATGTCGTTGGCGCGTGGAATTTGCTCGTTCGAGAGTTTCGTACTCCCGAAACTACCACTGCATCTCGTGTACTCACTCGGTTTCCTTCCGGTATTCCTTCGCTTCTCGCTAATCTTCGTTCCCTCTATAATCCTCGTGCACCGTACTATCGATATCCTTTTTTCCCTTTTTATCTCATCGTGATTTTATATCGCACGACTGATACTCCAATTTATACATTTTCTCGAACGTTTTTTGATATTTATACACGTTAAATAAAACAAACTTTATATTTTAATCCTTTCGCGCTGTGTAACACAACACTTTGGTAAATTATTAATTAATCGATGTATCTATCTTTTGATTTAAGACGTAAGACACCGAAGAAATATAAGAAAAAAGAAATTCTGAATTTTCCTGAAATTCGCCGAGAGAAAAAGTTACGAAGTTCTAATATTCGGACCGAATCGAAGGTGCGTGATTAAAGTACATTGCAAATGTTAATAATTCATCATACCAGTCTGGCCGAAAAAGAGTGGAATAAAGTGACAGCAAGGTGGAGAAATTCTGAATTTTCCTGAAATTCGCCGAGAGAAAAAGTTACGAAGTTCTAATATTCGGACCGAATCGAAGGTGCGTGATTAAAGTACATTGCAAATGTTAATAATTCATCATACCAGTCTGGCCGAAAAAGAGTGGAATAAAGTGACAGCAAGGTGGAGATACATACCTGAGTGTTTCTGGTATATCCGTAGCCCATAAATCTCTCGTCGTGCGCCGGGACAATATCCTTCGCCACGTAGAATGGTTCGTAAAGGAATTCGAAGTTCGTCACATCGTGGCTGATGTACACCTTGCCAGTTTTTACGTTCCCGAAGTTTTTATGATTCGGTGAAGTATCTAGTATCCATCTGAACGAAAAAGAATATATATACATTATACAAACGCACGTACGAAGCTATTCGATTTTTACGAGGGGAATAAGAGAGAAAGAAAAAAAAGAAAATTGCTCGCAGGATTGAATCTTCCGAAGGTCCTCGGATTTTCTATATTCCAATCTCGCTTTTACTTCGACTAACACGGAAACTTGAACCGACGTTTGAAGAAAATCTTGACGCAAAGAAACGCAATGAAAACTTGACAGTTCCCTCGGCTTTATGAACAAAAAAAAAAAAAGAAAAGAAGAATCGCCAAGAAACTAAAGAAATAAAATCGCAAATTCGATTGAAAGACTCGAGAGAGATGCCTCACCTGGTGAAATTGGTGGCGAACTGATTGTGGATGAAGACCTTTTGATGGAAAGGTCTGGCCAGTCCCTTCCTCGCCAGCCTGACCAACTCCGTCTTGTTCTGGGGAAATCGGACGCGCGAGTCCAGCTCGTACGTCGGTATCACGTAGGCGCATTTATAACAGGTATCGGTCCTCAGGAACTCGTCGAGGGCGCCGGTCAAATTGAAGCTCGGCACGATGTCCACGTCCGTGAGGAACACGTAATCCGACTGGCAGTTCTTCCTCGCCAAGTTCCTCATGTGATTCTGAGGGTAGACGTTCCGTATCCGCCAGTTGGTCTGCTCGTTCGAGATACCGTTCATCAACTCGTTCAACGTCCCCTCCGGTTTGGCACAATCCACCACCTCCGGCAGCTCGAATTCTCGCGGCTGCCTCTTCGGCGGCCTGACCCTTGGCACCGCCAACGAGAAACTCACCCTCTCCCGTACGGGCTCGTAACACTTCCTAAGGTAGATCAGGTACTTCTGAAGAACCTCGAACTCCTCGTCGCCGGCCGCGTACAGAGCGACCGACATCGGCCCGGTCCAGTGATGGGCCGCCTGCACCACCGAGTGAAGCTTCTCGATCGAGCTCTGCGTGGCCAAACAAACGCGATACGCCTGCGACAGCTCGACGAAACTCGAACCGACGAGGACGTGGTCGAACGTACGGTACATTCGACGAGCGTCCCATCGGCCCAGCTTCACGTTCAATCTTAAAACGTTCGCGTCAGCTGGCTGCGGTTGGTAATCTTGTGTAACGCAGTCCGACTGTTGCTGTTGCTCGCGCTGTTGCTGTTTGATCAGTGTGCCGAGGTTCCACTCGGTCACGGCGTTTGACTCCAAATCCCTGGGCACTTCGTCCGGGATGCAGGTCTCCGACTGCAGCAACAGGAAAGTCAACAGCATGTTGGAGAGAGCCAGGACGACCACGCTGGTCAGACTGAGGTTCCATGGTCGACATCCCAACTGCATATGAAAGAGAGTTTGTTAGTCCGATAGAGACCGGTCGATTTCTTTGAACGACGATCGAAGGAGTGTGTGCGTGCGTGTGTGCGAAAGTGAAGTGCAATCAGTGAACTGAAAATCCCCGTTGGCTAAAGAGATCTTCCATCGAGATGTGTCTGTATCAAACGAGATGCAACGTTGCTTGCACTTTCTAACGAAATTATCACGTTTCATTTTTCACAAGGAGAGAAAAGAAGAAAGAATACGAAATTTAACATATTTGGATCTAATTAGTTTTATATCTTTCGCGGTTACTGTCGACACGGGCGAACCGTGAACATTGAAACTCTACACGGGTATTACTTTTTTCTTGATTAAATCAGACTTCCCTTTGAAATGTTGAAAGTGCATTGACGTGTAATGAGAGAACGGATACTTGGAAGTAGCAGAGCATAAGAAAGAAAGGAAGAAAGTGTATCGTTTACATCACGCGAAACTAAAAGGCCGAGCGAAATATGGCTGCGATCGTAACTTTCGAAGTTTGTTCGACAGAGCCTCGGCAAAAATCATGCCGCGGCTATTTCACTGCAAAACAACGTACAGCGTAAGCAAGTTTTACGACAAGAAGCAAAGTCTTTGGCAACAGCGTATCGGGTCTGTCCAAAACAGAGTCGGCTTGCCTGTTTTATCGTTCTAATTACCGCGTCGTCGGGTTCTTGTTACCACCAGCAGAAATGCAAAAGTAAAACGTCGAAACGCGGACCACTAGAGAACAAAATTTAATTCACCAAATCCCAATAATTAAACTTCTGTTCCCCTAGTTGTATATTTTTAACAATTGTACATCTACGAAACTACAATTTCCTTTTTTCTAAATTAATAACAATTTGCACGTGGTCGAAAGTCTCGAAAAAAATACACAAACGCAAAAGAACAAATTAATTCTTAATTTAAGCTTTCGTAAGAGTAAAAATAAAGGAATGTATAATGAGACGTGGAATGACTTTTATAAAATGGCGTTTCAGAGAGAAGGAACAATAAAATAGAACGTACGTAACCCACTGGGACTGTAAGGTTTAATGAAGTTTTACTACACAAATAGTACCGTCCTCTTCCATGATAAGACTTCGTTAAATATTCCCTGTCTCGGAGGATTCTATTTCTGCCACGGTGGGCGAAATAAAAAAAAAAAAACAATTCAATAATTACTCTGCGCGAATTTTATAAACACCAAGGAGAAAAATACACCGTTGAACGTCGAAAGTCAATGTTTAACAAGATTTGTGTCCTTTTAAAAATACGTGTATATAAAACTGTCCCGTGCAGTATGTCATAAATATGTTTGTAAATATACATAAAACTATAAAGTAACATCGAAGTAGAATTTTGTTAACACTCCCAACAACGTAAATACGTATTTTTCCATTGATAAATATTTACTACCGACAAATATCGTATATATTACTATTTCTTCTACCATTCTACCTCCATTTTATTTTACAAACCTTTACCTCGGTTCCCCCCTCATACGAGAAACTGAAACCCCACACGTACCATTTTTCTATTAATTAACAAATGAAACTCTACGCTTTTAATTATAAATGAAACTCTACGCTCTCAATCGCGCACATTTGCAACATCGTCGAACGCATCTGCACCGACGTTAAATCGATTCGCTAATAATTACCTCCACTGCCGGAGGAGCATTCGGGCACAGACCGTACACGCGTCTCGAGTAATTCCCCCCCGGTGGAAAGATTTTCGCAACCGCGTAAATGCCTGAGAAATAGAAGTCGTAGAGATGGGCGGCGGCACTCGTAATAATAGCGCAATTACGGTGCTAAACGGAAGAAACAGATTGTAGGTATTGTGGGGAGCAGCCACCAAAATGCACCGCGCAGAACTCCCGGCGAAATCCAGTGAAATTTCGCTTAGAAACAGCAACCAGAACGATAATGGATCGTACGACTTCCCAAGGCCCGTTAAAACCTCGCTCATATATAAGCCATGACGCCCGGACAGGTCGAGTATTTAACGAACAAAATAGTTCGCACCTTTGGCAAGATAATCGCTCTGTTCAACGATCCCATCTTGATTCGTTTTAGCGCGAGGTACATATGGCGTTGTGTACTACCGATCGTGCGCGCGCTACACGATTCCATTTGCCGACACATTTAACCCTTTAAGCCGTTTATGTCGGGTATGCTCGTCGTGAAAAGATGGAGCTTTTTTTTTTAACGTTGAATACACTCGTCATGTAGAAAAAGATTCGCTTTTGCTGTTTATTGTAAAATTTAGGTGAAAAGATTATATATATATATATATATATATATATATATATTTGTAAGTTTAGCATACTTTTCCAGAATACTTACAAGCACTGGGAAAAATAATTGACGCGATCCATACAATGCAAAAACAAGTGAAATTTACCTCTAATCATTTTAATCTTGCAAATGTTTGATTTCTTTTGCTTCTTTTTAAGAATCGACGAAAATTCAAGTTCTTTCCTCCACGTTTTGAATTTTTAATGATTCTTCTTAAGGAATTATATATATATATGTATATGTTACGCGTTTTGATATTTGTAAATGGACGAAATAATATTTTATTTAATTCTACATACAGAGGTTGACGATATGAAAATTTTAGAAACAACAATCTTTTGTAATTGTAGGAAAGAATTTCCGTTTGAACAACATCCTTCCGTCCTAAATAAACACAGTTTTAATTAACTGGATTGTTTAGTTAGTCAATAGGTCCTCTCTTTTGTTTCACGTTGGGAAACTAAATAACGAATTTTATGCTAAAGTAAACCTGTAAAAACAAACAACTTTCCCGACTATTTGTTTTGTCAATTCAATTCGAAAATCAAATTAAAAGTAAAAATTTTCACTTGCACTCAAGATAAATAAAGGTAAATGTGAAAGATAACCGGGTAAAACGCTAAATAAATGTATACTTAAAACCAGAAGAGAAAGAAATTCAAAAGTACGTACAACACCACGCAGAAATAGTACAGCATAGTCCATCTACGAAATGAAAATTAAAAATCAAGACCTTCTCCCCTTTCTGCAACAAGAATTCTTTCTTGTCAAATAATACCATCTGCTGTTCCTTGGTATTTCATACAATTTATTTAAATTTCCGACTTTTCCTCGTCCTAAATTGTTTATATGTGATACATGTACATGTATCTTATAATGTTCGAAATTTATTAATAAATATTAATAAATATTAAATTTCACCCTATCAATCACATTAACGAAGACAAAGTTTGTTACAAATCTTCAAATTTCACGTGCGTTGATCAAATCGTAATAGAAATATTACCTAAAAATAATTAAAATTATTGTCACGGATGATAATGATGATCGTTATCGTAAATGCGTACGCGCGTCTATGCGTGTATGTAAAATGTACACAGAAATGGAGGCATTACACTTAACACTGCAAGGCAGTCACACTTCCGTCTACTTATACGCGGCTCCAAGGCGAGAGGAAAATGGTGAACTCGGTTGCGTCCGCTGCAGCCGAGATTTTTACAAGCCGAAACTAACCTCCCGTACAACTGTTCACTGTACTGTAAAACGCGAGAAAATTCCTGGCGCTACTACTGTCTGAACCTCGAGAGGCGTTTCCATCGCGTTTACGCAGACGTATTAACTTATTCTGACGCGACGCGGAGAGAAAAAAAAAAAAAAAAAGAAAAAAAAATGGTGTCGTGACGCGAATGGTGGGTGGACCATCTGGATATTGCGCAAATGATTACCTTGAGGCTCGTTAGCTCGTGGCTGCGTACGACCGTACTGATTTTCTCGGTCCAGCTCGATGACGATTTCATTGTCCCGTTCATCGGGCTGCTCGCCTCGCCCGTTTTCGGGCAGAACTGCTGGTTGCACGGGCTTCGCCATCTCTGAAGCAACATTTCACTGATTTGATGACGGGGGCACAGATGGCAGGTGGAGTTTGAGGTACACAAAAGAAAAGGAAAGAAAAGAAAAAAACAGACGAAGAAGAAGAAGAAGAAGAAGAAGAAGAAGAAGAAGGGAAGAAAGAAATGATATCCTGAGTAATGACACGTAAGTAGTTGGTCTATTTTCCAATGGTCGACCCAAGGCCGATTGCCAGTCGCATGCGACTGAAAAATACCAATTAACAGAGGGACGATGCAAACTCGAGTCTGTGATCATGATTCAACGACGAATGATGGGACAGAGATTGGTTTGCATCGAATTCTGCGAAACTCGAGACCGTTAGCTGCCATTAGTTTATTTGATGATTTCCTCTTTCATTTCCTTATTTCGTCTGAATGACTCTTGAAGACTTTTGGAGATCGTGCGGGCAGATAATGCGTTGAGTGCGCTAATTGATTAATTATTTTACGAATTGCCGCGACCACTGTTATTAACGCGTTCACGCCAGTGTATGTGTGTGTGTGTGTGTGTGTGTGTCGTTTGTAAGACACCATTAACGGTGCTTGTTTTAAAAATTAACAAAATTGTTCTATAATTGGATAATCACACAACGAAGAGAGAGAGAAAGAGAGAGACAAGTGTCCTTTTACACGGGCGTGAAGCATCGTTACGTTATTGATTGAAATGTATTTGTTAGTCACGTGGAGAGACGAAGACTCTTTTTTTTTTTTATTTAGACACACGGATCGATTATTCAAGAGGAGGGCAAAATGATCTCGTAACATTGAGAATGGCACTTGGACTCCTCGTGGTATAACGTGCGCGTGAACGTAGTCAGAAAGTTGTTAAACAGTGCGGTATCACGGTATACATAGGCAGAGAGAAAGAGGGAGAGAAAAAGAGGGAGAAAGAGAGTAGCGATAATAGTACGTGAGAAGCGTTAGAGAATCGGTGACAGTGAAAGGGTTAAAGCTGTTTGCAACAAAACGTATATAAATAGTCGTCACGGTCAACGAACGAAGGTAGATCATCGAAGAACGATATGCAGCGCGCGCTTTTACGAACCGAGTTGCTCGATAGTGATCGCAAGTGATCGTGCGTAGT